ACATAGGGGTGCATGTATCCCTTTGAATTGGTGTTTTTGTACTTTTTGGGTAAATACCCAATAGTGGAATTACTGGATCATATGGTAGTTCTATTTTTACTTGTTTGAGGATCCTCCATACTGTTTTCCACAGTGACTGCACCAGTTTGTTGTCCCACCAACAGTGCAAAAGTGTTCCTTTTTCTCCACATCCTTGCCAATACTTACTGTTTCTTGTGTTTTTGATTTTGGCCATTCTGACAGAATATGAGGTGATATCTCATTGTGGTTTTGATTTGCATTTCCTTGATGATGAGTGATGTTGAGCATCTTTTCATGTGTCTGTTGGCTATCTGGATGTCTTTCCAGAGAAATGTCTGTTCATGTCTTCTGTCCATTTTTTAATTGGATTATTTCTTTTTGGGTGTTGAGTTGTATCAGTTCTTTATATATTTTGGATACTAACACTTTATTGGATATATCATTTGCAAATATCTTCTCCCATTCAGTAGGTTGTCTATTAGTTTTGTTGCTTGCTTCCCTTGCTGTGCAGAAGCTTTTTATTTTGATGTAGTCCCAAAAGTTTATTTTTGCTTTTGTTTCCCTTGCCTCAAGAGACATATCTAGAAAAATGTTGCTTACAGCCAATGTCAGAGAAATTACTGCCTATGCTCTCTTCTAGGATTTTTATAGTTTCAGTTCTCACATTTAGGTCCTTAATCCATTTTGAGTTTATTTTTGTGTATGGTGAAAGAAAGTAGTCCAGTTCCATTTTTTTGCATGTGGCTGTCCAGTTTTCCCAATACCATTTTTGAAGAGACTGTCTTTTTCCCGTTGTATATTCATTCCTCCTTTGTTGAAGATTAATTGACCATATCATTGTGGGTTTATTTCTGGGTTTTCTATTCTGTTCCATTGATCTATGTGTTTCTTTTTATGCCAGAACCATGCTGTTTTAATTACTACCACTTTGTGGGGCACCTTACTGACTCAGTCAGAACAGTATGCCACTGTTAATCTCAGAGTTGTGTGTTTGAGCCCTTTGTTGAATATAGAGATTACTTAAAAATAAAATCCTTAAAAAATTTACTACTGCTTTGTAATAAAACTTGAAGTCTGAAATTGTGATACCTCCAGCTTTGCCTTTCTTTTTCAAGATTGCTTTGGCTATTCAGGGTCTTTTGTGGTTTCATATAAACTTAGAGCTCTTTTAGTTATGTGAAAAATGCTGTTGGTATTTTGATAGGGATTGCATTAAATCTGAAGATAACTTTGGATAGTATAGACATTTTAATGATATTTGTTCTTCCAACCCATGTGCATGGAATGTCTTTACATTTCTTTGTGTCGTCTTGAATTTCATTCATCAGTGTTTTATGGTTTTCAGAGTATAGATCTTTCACCTCTTTGGTTAGGTTTATTCCGAGATATTTTACTGTTTTTGCTGCAATGGTAAATGGGATTATTTTCTTAATTTCACTTTCTGCTGCTTCATTATCGGTGTGTAGGAATGCAACAGATTTCTGTAGATTGATTTTGGATCCTGTGACTTCACTGAATTCATTTCTCAGTTCTAGTAGTTATTTGGTGGAATCTTTAGGGTTTTCTGGATTTGTCTTTGACAGTCTTCTGTATGTGTGTGTGTGTGCACGTGCACGTGCTGATTCAGAAAGGGGACCATTTCTGGTCGTTCTAGTACTTCCACACCAGGGCAACTTTAATTCTGCCCTCAAACTGCACGGTCTTCCACCTGTACCCCTCTTCAAGGCTTTTCTCTTTTGTTCTCTGACTTTAACTGGGGCCTTGGTTTCCATGCTGGCAGGTAAACTGGATGTCTCTGGGTCACTTTTAGTTCCCCCTCCCTCACCCCCCTCCCCACCTTCAGGTTCTACAACCTGCTCTCTGGAATCTTCCCTCCTTTCCATTCTGGATACAACTACCCTAGGTCAGGACATATCATCTCTTGCCTAAGTGAATCTAATTACCTTTTAGCTAATCTCCCTACCTCCAGTCTCCACAGAACTCCACAGGGCTTCTTTTAAAACACTGACACACACACACACACACACACATACATACATACATACATACATACATAAAACACTGAGCTGATCACCTCACTTTCCTTCTCAGAACTTTCCTTGGCTCTCTCCACAACCTACTGAATGAAGGTGAAACTCCTTAGAAGGCATTTGGGGCCCCCCTTACCTTACCTTAACCTAAACATCTCCTACCTTATCTACATGGAACCTGTGATCTCTGTTCCTTAAATACATGTGTATCCACACTTCTAGGGTTATGCTCACATTATTTTGTCATTCTGGGATATAAGGCTCCCTTTTCCCCATTTCTGTCAATGACCAGTATTTTATTTTTTTCAAGGCCTAATTCAGTATCACCTCCTTCATGAAAGCATTCCTAATAGTTTGAATTAGAATTGTTTTGTTCCTCTGTATCAGCTCATATCATTTTTGAAAGTCAGGTTCATAATTGAGGTATAATTTATATGCAGCAAAATTCACCCCTTTCAGGTGTATAGTTCTATGGGTTTTGACAAACAAAATATATAGTTGAGTAACTCACCATCACCACAATGAAGTTATAGAATATTTTAGTGAAACCAAAAAGTTCCCTTGTGTCTCTTTGTAGACAATTCCCTCCTCCCATTCCTAGTTCCTGGCAATCACTGATCTGATTTTTGTCCCTATACACTTCATATCATTTAAATGTATTTTTGCCTTTTCCCCTACAGGCCTGGCAGACTGAGAGCTGTAGTCACTCACCTTTGTATTGCTCATGGTTCCAAGCACAAGTTTCAAACACACTTATTACGTACCAGGTCATAAATATTTGATCAATGGAAAAAGGAAGAAAAGGAAGAAAGGCAGACCAGAAGAAAGGAAAGAAGGAAAGAAAAAAGAAAGGAAGAAAAGAATGAGCCAAAGAATAAATGGACAAATAGCCCTAGGAGAATTCTGATTCGGCAATGGGGCAGCCAACAGAGTGCATGCTAGTTTGATGAATTATTCTGAGTTATTAATCTGAACTCCAAAAACAGTTACTTTTAAACACCTATATAGTGAAGTTGGAAGCAGCAAAACTGACACTCTAGCTTGGGAAGGAAATCTTAATGTAAATCTTAATGTAAATAAGTTGTACTAGCAGGTAGGAAAGGACCACCCACCACTCCCAGGCTAAGCTGCCTCTGATCTCCTCACATATTACACCACCATAACTAAGATATGAAATGTTCTGTTCTTGGTATATAGCACATTCACTTAAAATTTCCAGGGGAGTTAAGGGAAGGAGAGAGGTAATGTTAAGTGCCCCAAAGTCATGGTGTTATATGCTTTGTATTGTTTTATTTTAATTCTTACAACTACTCTCTCACTGAAGTTAAAAGTAATTAGGAGGTAACTCTTTTTTGGGAAAGGAAATCGATAATTAAAGGAAGTTTAGGGGTGTACTTCCTAAGGGTAGAGACAAGTTACAAACTTATTTTTTAGTTCAGGATAAGTTCTTTGGAGATTTTGAGTTTTTCTTCTGTGAAATCACAGTAAGCAAGAAGGGACAAGAGTCCAGAGTAATAAACATTTTTTTTTTTTGTCTATCATTGATACACTCAGGGTATTTCTGGTGTGGTGACCATGTTCATTTCAGAAGCCAATATAATGTGAAGGAACTCCAGTGTGCTGTTTGATGAGGTTGTCAACAAAGGCAGAATTTCGGGGTTAAGGAGTATATTTAGTAAGTGGGTAATAATAACTGCCTTCTTTCTATAGTATGGTGTCATGGTAATTTAAAGTCATTTTGCAATCACTCTTGAGAGATAATTTTCTTGGTTCTTAGAACAAGTTGGAAGATAAACTTTGGACGATGTATTATACTATGCCCTTTGCAGTTAAATAACCCAAGATAATGTGTTAAAGTTTAGTGGAAATTTAAATTCCTGAGCTGATTAAAGAGTGTTAAGACTATTAGGTTTTAGAAATGTTAATATTACTCCCAGAGTTTCTAGGCACTATGTAGTGATGAATTGCATGTTTCCCTCGCTTATTATTTTTCAATCTTGCAGAACAGTTCAGCATTAAATAACTAAAATTACAGTTCAACTTGAAGCCTGGGACCAGGGCAGGAAGACCTTGAACTGCTGGCTGACTTAGGGCTGCATCGCGTCCATGAAAAGTGGAGCCATTGAAAACTGTGGGATCATGATGGAAGTGCTTTTTCAGGAAGATAAATCTGGCTATGTGTGCAAATGGTCCGGGGCAGAGAAGAGAGAGGCAGCCTCCATTCAGAGGCTCCTGTAATATCCACACTGAGGTGATCAGAGCAGAGCTGGAAAAGAAATGGTAAAAAATGATAAAAGAAAATGGTAGTGTCTGCGACCAACACTGGACGATGACCAGATCCAGTGGGGTTGGGTGAGTAAGGAAGAGAACTGCAAGAACGGCTTCGTGTTCTCCAGCGACCCGAAGTTCTCAACAGAGGCCCCTCGACTCCTCCTCTGTCCTCAGCGCCGACGTACTGAGATCAGCTGGAAAGCTCAAGCTTCAGGCTGGTCCGGCCAGCCAAGGGTGCACAGGCGGAAGGACTGGCCAGGCGTATACTCCAGCTTGCCTTCCTTCCCCGCCTCCGCTCTCAGGCAGTCGCTCTGATTGCTAACCCTCTCTCCTCACCATTCGGAGTCCCCAGATCACCTCCCCCACCCCCCGCCCAACCTCAGTCCGCGGTCGACACCGCCCTCTGTTCCTCCCCTCCCCCTCCCCCTTGGGGCGCTGACTCGCCCGCCTGCCACGTCTCACTGATGACATCACCAGGGCCGCTCGGTCTTAGCCAATCCGCTAGGGGGAGTCCGAGCGAAGTCCTAGCCAGCGAGTCAGCGGGGCGGGGAGCAGGGAGGGGCAAGAGGGGGAGGTGAGAGAGTGGGGAATGGGGCGGGCGACAAGCTCTCAAATACGCATGCACCAGAGGCGCGAAGCTTTGCGGGAAGTTGAGTCCCGGCTGCCGCGTCGCCGTAAGTCTTCGGCGCCCACTGCGGTGTTCGAACTCTCTTTCCCGGCGTGCCGCGCGGTGCGGCCGCCCTCCGGGCTGTGTAAAGACCCCTCGGTCTAAGGCTTTCCTGTTTCCTGGTTCGCCGGCGGCCATTTTGGGTGGAAGCGATAGCTGAGTGGCGGCGGCTGCTGATTGTGTTCTAAGGGGACGGAGTGGGGAAAGACGTTTGCTCTCCCGGAACAGCCTATCTCATTCCTCTCTCTCGATTACCCGTGGCTTGAAGAGTCAGGGCGGCGGCTGCAGCAGCAAGGGCGGCGGTGGCGGCGGCGGCAGCTGCAGTGACATGTCCAGCATGAATCCCGAATAGTGAGTGCAGGACAGCACCGGTCGGCTGGGTCCGTGGGCCAGCTTGGAAAAGCTTAAGGGGAGCGAGGAGGGCTGAGGCAGGGGTGGGGGCCTCGGCCTCGGTGAGGTGAGGGTGGTAGGGCAGGAGATGCTGGCGGCCGGGAGTCGGGCCCCATTGTCTGACCGAGGAGGGGCGGCCGGGGGGAGGGGTCGGGCCGGAGGGGTGAGCCGCCCGGGCCTGGACAGGTCAGGTTGGAGGCCTTGAGTGCCCGGCGGGTGCGGAGGAACAGTCTTTTGAGGGGGTTGGGGCGTTTGGGAGTCGGTGGTGGGGCGGTGGGAAAGGGTAGCTTCACGCGGAGGCAGTGACTTTTGAAGGAAGACTTGTTTTTAAGGGGAGAGGCTAGGGTGGGAGAGCTCTCCTAGAGGGCACTGTCAGACCCTGCGCCCGCACTCTGCGGAGCTGTCAGAATCGTCTGGGTGGAAACCAGCTTTACTTGTAAATCTTGAGCTTGTTGGCTCTATTCTTTCACCCTCCCGGCCAGGTTGCAGGTAATATGGATGCTTTTCAGGACTGCGTGGGATTGAGGGGAATGAGTAGATGGTGAGAAGAGATTTTAAATTTTTAGTGGTTCTTTTTTTTTTTTTTTTTTTAAGTTATTTCCTGGAGTTCTTCAAGAACTCAAGGGGCCCATTTGCCTTCCTGAAAACCTGGGCATTTGTGAGAATTTTTTTTAGAGGACACTGAAGTCATTTTGTCTTCTGTAGGTCGAGAAAAAAAAATAAACAGACCTCTAAGACGTAGGAACATTTTTCTGATATTATCAAAGTAAAGGAAGACTGCTGTCAAGTTGAAAGAAACGAACGGGCTCTATGATCTGTAGGTTTTGGGTTACCTGCTTGAATGCTCGAAAGATAGGGAGTGAGGTTCCATGACGTGTCATGAAAAGTTAATGCATTTCTTTTTCTTGCTTACTCAAGAAGTCAACACAGCATATGTGACACACCTGACACCTTTCCTGGGAACTGGTGTTCACTTTCCTTGGGAAGACTTCGTTGGGCTCCTCCTTAATGGACCTTTAAAATCCTCCTTCAGTTTACGTATATAAATTAATGAATGATTGGAGGAGATTTAATTGGTATTCCTCTTCAGCGTCAGAAGGCTTTGGGAGAGAGAGGGATTTTTTTTTTAAGCAAAAATCAGTGTTTTAAAAGCTGAGTGTATTTGCTGCTTTGGTCAATTACTGCTAAACATTTCCCCTAAAAGGTCCACCCGTCAGTTTAGCTGACTGTCATGTGTGTGTCACATGGCTCTTGCAAAATGCATTCTGACTTCCAGTTTTGTAATATGGTGGTTTGATGCTGAAATGTCCCCTTTTGCACTAAACAGAAGCCACTGTATTCCATTAGAATTTTATATACTTTAAGAAGTTGAGGATAGTGTTCTCATAGTGCCATATTTGCTATGTTGGCAGTTTTTAATTTCTTTATCAAGGACTCCCCAGGACAGAGTTGGTTTTGCATAATTAGGGAGAGTTGAACTTGAGGTCCCTAATTTGGTGGTTTTCCTGGCAACAATAAAGTACATGGATTTGCCACTTATGGAGACTTGTAAACCTCCTCTTTTCAGGGAGTTTCTTATATTTGCTACATATTCTTAGTATTATAAATAGATCTTTAGGATTAGTTGAACAGAACCATGACAAATTAGCCTCTGAATTTGTTTCTCCTTTTGTAAAATAGGATAGTAGGAGTCATTATTCCTATCAGGGTAGTTGTGAAATTCAAGTGTATGTAAAAGAAAACGTAAGAGCACTCTAGGTGGTATATGTCATTATCATATATGACATTCTAATAGTGCTAGGATTTAGGAATATGATCCTTACCCTCAAGGAGTTTATAATGGGATATAGAAAATAGATTGTTATATATGTCAAATACCAGTAGATCTAGTTTGTTCCACATGTGCAGGATGGATAGGAGCAAGAAGATTTCAAAGGAGGATGGAGGGCTGTGGTTGGCTAGTCTGGTTCAGGAAAAATTTATAGAAAGGAGACTTCTAAGGGAATTATTAGCAGATTTAGAGAAGTAGCAGGGAATGAGGAGGATTTCTCAAGGGGGAAGAAGGAAGAATGGTTAATAAATGGCAGTGATAGCAATTCTTAAGTATATACAGTGCCAAACCATCGGTTAGATTAATGACCTTAACAGAATCAAACCCAGACATCATTTTTATACTTCTTCTGCCATCGACTATGCCAGTACCAGGTCTACTGTATTTATATTCTAGACCGTGTCTATGAAATAGGAGTTTGGAAAAACCTTTGGAGGAGCATTACTGAAAATTATTTGGAGAGGAGGTGATGGATATTTTATTAGGGAAGGTCACAAGGGCAACCAGCAGGCAGATTTTTAACAATGTGACTTCAGCAGTTTTTTCGTTTTGTCTTTAATGAAGTTTGTTACCGTCATAAAAGTAATTAGTGAAAAATTGGAAAATAGAGAAAATGAAAAAAATCTTAGAGTTTTATCACTGAATACAAGTCCATTTACTTTAATACCTTGTTCTAAACTTTAAAATCTTAAATTTTTTCTTAAATTAAAACTTTTAATGGGTGAGTGCCTTTCATGATTCCATGATGTCTTAATAGCTAGCATTTATAGCTACATATATGTTAGGTATATTATACATTATAATACATGTTTGTTGTAGCACATGCATTATATGCTGATGTGATGTACACTAGATAATATTTAAAAGTGCAATCTAAATGTTCCTTGGTTTTGGTTTATCATCTGCTAATTTATTCCTTTTGGAAACATTTAGAACTCTTCATGGGTGCCACTGAATTTGGTAATGAAATGGGTTCTTGACAAAAGAGGTTTGGTTCTGTCAGAAAGAACAGGATTTTAGATTATTGGTCGACAAATGATTACCTGTTGGTAGCTTTTTTATTGAATGCTTTTACTTTATGGTCCTTAAATTGTAAGTTTGGTTTGGGAGTGAGGAGAAAAAGAAATATATCAGTCAAAGGTTAAATTTTAAGTTGTCCCTTTGACTACTTTCTATGTTATTTGGCTAAGCTTGGTTTGGGAGTGAGGAGAATAAGAACTATATCAGTCAATGGTTAAATTTTAAGCTGTCCCTTTGACTACTTTCTATGTTATTTGGCTAATATGAGAGAAATGACAACCCTGGATTATCTTTATGGTATAGAAATTAAGGGTAATGACTGACTTGTCTGAATTTCAAGTACAAACAAAAAGAAAAAGCAACTGGAAGTGGAATCTGAATAGTGGAAAAAGTAGATGGAAAAGATCAGAGCTTTCTTTTTTCTGGAGATGTGAAGAAAGATTTTGATTTTTCTGAGCTAGGTGGTGAAGCAGGCAGTGATTATTTCAGCATACTGGTTAAGAAATGCTTAACATTATTCTCATACCAGAAACATTTGTTCTAATCCATTAGCTTTTAGTGGATTTTTTAGTGTCAAGGAAATCATTTCGGCTACTTCATCTATAAGGAATGTGTTAATAAAGTATGTGTACCTATCATGGATATACCAGTTAACTATAATAGGAAGGACTATAGTAGTCTACTTGGATCAACTGTAGTTCTTTAATGCAGAAAAATTTTATAGTAAATGCCTTGTTTTTGTTTTGTTTTGTTTTTTAATATGGCTCCGGAGTGATGTTTAAGATTATGGCCCAAGATTTAATCAGTCTTATAAACAGCTTTTCTGTCATAGTAGACTTAAGGAACATTTGACTTTTTTTTTTTTTTTTGCTAGCACTGTGCTTTGAATTAATCTGTCTTTTAATATAAGGGTTTGAATGTAAAAGCAACTTAATCAGTCTTGTCAGTATAATTTCATTAAGTATGTCATAATTGGCTTTATAATTTTTATTTAGAACTTTTTTTATTAGAAAAGAAGCATAAATCAACTAAAAGTAAGTTGCCTTTTTGTTGGTTGTCTTGATGACTTTTTGGTGGTGTTGGTAGTAGTTTGAAAAATTCAGAAAATTTTAAAGAAGAATAATAACCAGTATTCTCACTATTGGGTATATGATTTCATAATGTCTGTAGAGAATCAGCAGATGTGATTCTTTGGGTAGTGTAAGTTTCTAGGAGCTGTACAGAATCTCCGCAGAATGAATCTTCAGAGTTTTGTGTGAATAGATGATCTTGTAAGATCATTTGAAGATAACTGAAATTTTGCATTTAAAAATTTCTTCTTTTTCATAATTACGTTAAAATGAGAGCTGTTGACAGTTTCTTACATACCCCAAATAAAATTTTTAAAGTTTAAAAAATAATGTTAAAGATGGAAGAGCTTCAGAATCAAATGTTCTCTTGACAACTTTAATTGACTTTTGAAGAGAATTTTGCTTTATAAGTGATTTTATTTCTTGGATAGTTCAGTTTTTTTTTTATTCTGGAAGCAGTCTTAGTAATTTGTGGTCTGACATTTTGTTATAGTCACATCCTATTAGCAATCCCTTGTGTACATATGTTTTCTTGGCCACTTTTGACTATACGATTATGATAGTTTTACTATTTAAAGTTGTAATAGTTCCGTTTTTAATAAAGAATAGATTCCTTTTGCTAATGTTATCTACTTTTGTCTCTAATATATGAAAATATTTAAGGTCAAATAAAATCCTTCTTAAAGTTTTTTAGATTTTTTTTTTTAAGGTTTGCTAAAAAGTACTTTGAGTATTTGAAGATGAAAATAAGCCAAAAATGGGTATTGGATGCCAGTGCATGGGATATTTTAGATGTGTGCTTATCAGTTTTTTACCACTCTGTCTGAACTCGGTTTTGGAGTTTTAGTAAGAGTTAGTTAGGCAAGGGGTGCCTGGGTGGCTCAGTCATTAAGCGTCTGCCTTTGGCTCAGGTCATGATCCCAGGGTCCTGAGTTCGAGCCCCGCATCAGGCTCCCTGCTCAATGGGAAGCCTTCTTCTCCCTCTCCCACTCCCCCTGCTTGTGCTCCCTCTCTCGCTGTCTTTCTCTCTGTGAAATAAA